AAAATAAAAAATTCAAAATAATGAAATTTTCTGGGGAACGAATTAGTGGTATTGGTATTACCCATTCAGAATAAACAATGAAATAAAAGCTAAAACAAAATCAAAACATTGATTTTTTCCCTAAGGAATAATTAGTTAGTTGCATTGGTATTATTCTTTAAGAGACACCATCTCTAACATCGACATGAAGTTTTGCGGTGCGGTTGCATGAGTGGAGATAATGGTCATTGGGCTCGTCAACGATGGAGATCGTAAGTTTTACTTCTTGTTGCTCTACATGTTGATCAATTTATCGATTCACTCATTTTTTCAACTTGATAATCACCACGTTGTATAGCCCGGACAGGTTAAGGAACACAACTCCTACACACTCTATGACAAGGTCGAAGTTAGCCAACCTTTATCGGTCGAAACTGAAGCTAGAGGACCAAAACACACAGTCATGCCATCTGCTCTGCAGGACAGTCCCACTTAGACAAACCTATGGAATAAAATACCCGACTCGAAGAACCAGATCAAGGGGAACACCTCCCAACAATGCAAAAACACCATCAAAGCGAGAATGATGCAGGGAAGACTTGCTCCATGTTCAATGGTAGCTCCATCGCCACACCACCGACGACTAAGTATCAAAACCTTAATTAAAAAAAATCAGCTACCACCGTCGACACGAGACAATCTGGTCCATGTCCCTTTTCATTGCGGAAGTGGCAGAGGGTGGGGCGCCACGTCCATATATATACGCCACATATATACACATCTCGTATTTCTGTAGTGGAGGCCACGTCCGTATGCGGCCCATATGTCAGTGGGCTGAGTGGGCCGAAAAGTAAAATGAAAAAAAAAAGACGAAGGGGGATTCGAACCCACGAGCTCTGCCCAACCACTGCCCGAGCAGGCCACTAGGCCGAGTGTGTCATCTTATTCAACATGGGGATGCAATATATATTATAAGCATATCACTGTTTCTTTAAAAATTTACGCGAATTTTAAAATATTCATGAACTTTTATTTTAGAAAACGTTCATCGATTCACAAAATGTTCATGATTAAAAAGTAAAAGGTAATGTCTACAACAAATGTACGTAAATTTCTAAAATAATCAAAACAATGCTTGGCAATTTTTAAAAAATATTATTCCAAAATTTTAAAAAATGTTCACTGATTCAAAAATGTATTGATGGATTCAAAAATGTTCATCACAAAAAAATGTTTCTGAATTTCAAAAGTTTTTCACCAATTTCAAGAAATATTTTCCTATGAAAAAAAACTTGTTGTCGAGTTCCAAAAAACATGTGCGCGGTTTCAATAAATATTCACTAACTTGTAAAAAGTTCATGAATTAAGAAAATGTATACAACTTCAAAAATATGGTGAACATTTTGGGAGTGCATCTCCTCACATATATATAGTTACAAAATTCCAAAAAAAATGTTCGCAACTTGTACAATAGACTAAATATATAGGACATGTATCTCGTCACATATCGCACACACAAACTTAGTATTCATGATTTGATTTTTTTTATGTTCATTGATTCAAAAAATGCTCACAATTCAAAAGTAAAAGTTTGTGTATACAAAAAATGTCGTTGAATTTATGAAAATATTCAAGAAAATGCTTGGGATTTAGAAAAATATATTTTGTAATTTTTGAGAATTTTTTTCACTGATTCAAGAAAATATTGATGAACTCAAAAAAAAATCATCACAAACAGAATGTTTCTGAATTTCAAAAGTTATTCACGAATTAAAAGAAATGTTCGCCTATGCAAAAAAAACTTGTTGACAAGTTCCAAGAAACATGTAAGGCATTTCCAAAAGTATTCACGAATTTGTAAATAGTTCATTAATTAAGAAAAATTTCGCAACTTCAAAAATATTGTGAAACTTTTTTCAATTTGATAAAAAAAACTTAAATTTGAAAAAAAATTCGGCCCAATTTTTAACTGCCAAAAAAAATGAACAGAAAGAAAAAGCCAGAACACACAGAAGACAGCTGGGCCGTAGCTATAAAACAAAAGAAACAGGCCCGTACAGCCCAAAGAAAGACTGTGAATACCTAATTATATTTATTTTCACTAAAAACCCTAAATAGGTTTTTTTTTATAAAAAGGACTAAATATATAGGGTGTCCATCTCCTCATATATCTCGCGCACACACTTGGTCTGGTGTCTAGCGCGCGCTTCCCTGGCCCACATGTTGCGCGTTCGAACCACCCGCCCACGTGTATTTTTTCTTTTGTTTCTCAATATCCCACTGACATATGAGTTCAACCTGACGAGCGGGGCCATTCTGACGTGGCATATGGTGGAATACACAATACGTATGCAATATGTAGAGCTAGGACTGGCGTTTCAATCTCAAGAACCGTACTGACCATGTATTTTTGTGTACCGGGACCGTATTGAAGCAATACACAAGTTGCAGGACTGAGTTGGACGTCGCCAGCGAGTACGAGAACTATAGATGCAATTATCTCTGTCTCGGGACGTGGGCATTCCAAGATTTACAAGGAGCAATGCCCTTGCCCTAGAGGCATGGGATCGTTGGAGCATCTTCAACGTGGGATTGTGGAGGTACCGTCTCCACTCGTCAGTATTCTCGACCGGCATCACACGTGCACCGACGGATGTTATTGGCGCCGCGGACGACTCTTGGCGGCATTCACTCCGCGTGGCTTGTGCAGGATATTCACGCCGCGTGAAAATGTCCAAATGCAGATCGTGCTCGCTTTGCATCATCTTCATTTCCTCGCCCGCTCAAGCATGGATCACCATTGCTCTTTTTTCCCTTTCCTTTTTTACTCTGGCCATCCATGATTTTGCTTTTGTCAGGTGTGATACTTTATGTGTGTTGGTTGTCTGTGTACATCCTAAGAGCATCTTCACTCGTCGGCGCCCCAGGGACTTGAAATAGTGCCTCCTGGGGGGCGAGCCGGTGTAATGCTCGCCGTGGGGGCGGTCGGGTTCCCACTCGCCGCCCCAAGTTGGCTCCCAGACGCTTTTTTTATTAGTTCGGCTGAGTTTGGACAAAATTTGGACAAAATTCATTCATATTCATATTTATACATAATTTGAAAGACATAAACCTAAAAAAAACATAAAACTACGCTGCTGCCCGCCGCTGCCGCCGCCGTCCTGAGCCTTCTACATGCCGAGGAGACTGTAGAAGGCGGTGTAGTCGCTGCCGTCGCCGCCGCCATCGTCTTCGTCGTCGTCGTCCAGCACGCTACCGCCGTCCTTGCTGCAACCCTGCCCTGGATTGCCTTGGCGGACGGGCTTGGTAGGCGGTGGTGCCTTGTTGTCGCTATCGTCGAGGACGATGATGTCGGCTGCGGCGATCTCCTCGAGGGCACGACGCTGGCACTCCATCACCTCGCCGACGTAGTCATCCCGCGCCCATTTGAGGGCGGTCTCGTCGGCGGCGGCCATGTCGACGTGCTCCTGTTTCACGACGACGGGCGGCGTCCCCGGCTCCCTCTTCGGCCTGACCAAGCGAAGGTGGCCTCGGGAAGGAGGGGAAGGCTAGCGGCGACCCTCGTTTATGATGAGGCCGCCGCCACGGCTGCGCGGATGCCTCGTCATCTCCACGGGCTCGGCCTTGACGGGTTCGGGCTTGACAGTGGCGAGCGGCACAGCGCCGGAGGAGCAGGAGGAAGAGGAGGAAGAGCCGCCCGCCATGCGCCTCGGCGGCCAAGAGTTGCCGCTCCGGCGGGAGGCTGGGGTCGTCGGGGGTGCTGGGTACTCGAGAGGCAGCTCATTGCCGCCCTCAAGGTGCTCGAGGGGCGTGGAGAGTACGCCGAGGGCGCCCCACCATAGGTGGCGGCCGTCGGTGTTGTGGTGTCCCCGTACCGGCGCGTTGTTGGTGGAGACGAGCTGCTCCTCGTGGCGCCGCCGGAAGTACTCCGTCCAGAACGTGTGGTTGCCGGTAGCGTACTTCGGAAGGCCCAACACCTCCTACGGCAGGGAGGCCCGAACACGCGCGATCTCGGCGTGGCGGCGGTCGGCATCGGTCGGCGGCGGGGTGACGGGGACGCCTCCTAAGCCTCCACGAGCCCGGCACGCGCATGTCCGGCGGTGCCGGGTAGTTCGCCTCGTAAAGGAGGTATGTCTCCCACTTGTGGATATGGCATCGGCCAAAGCCATTGGTCGCAGCTCCCTCGCCGGGGTATCTCTCACCCATCGTGGTTGCAGGCATGGAGGAAGGAGAGAGAGAGGGGCGTCGGCGGCGAGGGAGGCA